TTTAGTCCCAGTATAAATTCACAATTAAGTTGCTCTGACTCTTCAAATTGTATATCTTGATATATGAAAGCCTGTTCAGGATTACTCAGTCTCTCTTCTATTATTCCTTGTTCCACAATTTTATTCGTTTTTAAAAAGTCAATGTAAGGTTCTAATATGGCCTCTTCAGGGTGTGGATAACTTTCTTCAGCTACCACCGAAATCAACAGTTTTTTATCTGTAGTGGTTGAAAATATGGTGGCACAATGGTTAGACTGTAGTACTGCAGCTAATTCTGCTGATTGCTGGCTGCCATCAGTTTGGCAGTTCGAGTCTCACTGGCTCAAGGTTGACTCAGCCTTCCATCTTTCCGAGGTCGGTAAAATGAGGACCCAGATTGTTGGGTGGCAATATGCTGACTCTGTAAACCATTTAAAGAGGGCTGTAAAGCACTGTGAAGCGGTCTATAAGTCTAAGTGCTATTGCTATTGCTATCTACAGATAATAAACAAAAATGCTCTTCTATAAATAATTGTATTTTCATAATGTAAGAAATGGTAGGCACATTAGCAGTTAGGACTAAAATTTCTACCACTAAGTAATGTGGTCATAAAGCACAATGTCACTTGACCACTTTGCTTAATGACAACAATCCCACTCTTCCCACTGTTGTGTTAACCAAATTCCAGTAGTCAATAACCAAAGACCCACCCCAATTCAAGCAATTCAGGGTGCAGTCCTCTCACCTGAGCCCCGATACTTCCAAGATATGGGATTACCTCCCCTTCAACTCGCCCAAATGTCTATTCCATCCCAACTGTGCTCTTTTGGCTGTCCTGCACCCTACTTTGTGGGGTGGCAAGCAGCCCTAGAATTAAATGGCTCTGGGCTACTTTTCACACTGAACCTTGGGCTTCTTGGTGTGCCCCAGCCTCACCCAGCAGTGCAGAATGCCCCAGCCAGCTCACCCAGTCCTAACTGCAGTTGCCTTGCCACTATGTACTCTGAAGCTCCCGTGCTTTACCGCTCCAGCTGACCTTCACTATCTTCTTGTTCCTTCTGCTAACAATGCGTTTCTGCCCTGGCCCTTTGCAAGGCTATGCTGTCTCTATGAGACCATCTTTCCCATGCATGAACTGGAAAAAAAAGCCTTGTCTTCCAGCTGTTGCATCATGAAGGGCTGGGCTGGGCTGGGCTGCGCATGCTTGTAAGCAGTGGAAGCAGAAGGATGGCAGAGGTCTGCGAGGGTGCAGGGGCCATGGAGTGCAGAGAGCCAAAAGAGCATAGAAGGGTAGGAAAAAGGTAGGTGAGGAAGTTGAAGCATTCCTTGCAGTTGTAAATAAGGAGATGCCAAGCACCCTAATTTTGATCATGTGACCATGGGGGAACTGCAGTGGCTATAATTTCAGGGACTGGTCATAAAGTCCTTTGTTCAGCGCTGCTATAATTTCAAATGGATGCTGAACAAATGATTACTAAGTGAGAGCTACCTATAGTTTATTTCAGTGTGTGTGTGTATGTGTGTTTAATACAACCGTATAGAAAAGTTTGTGAGCGTGTTCTTTGCTAGCTAATTGCTTCTTCAAATAAAACAATACTTTATTTTGTTTGCATAGTTCCTATTCCATTTTGCACACTTATGTGGCTAATTTCTAAATTAATAAAAAAAAAGTGAATGATTATGCAGAACAGCATAAAACTGCAGATGACTGAACTGCAGATTTAAGGGCTTCGATGTATGAGAAGATTTTCAAGTCTTGTCAGGAGAAGATAAAATGTTTTACAGTGGTAAAAAACAATTAACTAGAATTGCCAGTAGAGGGAAGTTTTGCCAAAGTTTATAGCATGAACATAAAAAGTTGGAATGAAAGAAAACATATCAATTATCTGCACACACTGTTTTGTTTTAAAAAGAAACCAGTGCAATTTACAATGTTTTTACTGTACCACAGTGTTTTATTTTAATAAAAACCTCCTTGCTATCTTTTGTTCAGACAAAAAGAGGACTTTCTATAAATAATCAAAATTATATTTTGTTTCGTGATTTGAATTTAACTATGAAATTGTGAAATTGGNATATCAATTATCTGCACACACTGTTTTGTTTTAAAAAGAAACCAGTGCAATTTACAATGTTTTTACTGTACCACAGTGTTTTATTTTAATAAAAACCTCCTTGCTATCTTTTGTTCAGACAAAAAGAGGACTTTCTATAAATAATCAAAATTATATTTTGTTTCGTGATTTGAATTTAACTATGAAATTGTGAAATTGGAAGTTTCTAATAACACTTCTTTATTTAATACTTCATTAAATATGGCAAATAAAATTTAACGTAGATTACAGAAGTTTACATTTGTTTTTTTAATTGTTCCTGGAGAAAGAAATTATAGCACAGCATAGCAGCCTATTCCTAATAGCAAGTATTTTGATTGTTTATTTTTATTCATAAGTTAAGAGAGAAAAAAATCTATGAAATTTCTTGTCCTTAATTATTATTTCAAATATTTTGAAACAATTTGTTTTTATGATACTTTCACAACTAATGAATTAATTATATCAAATGCCTCATGGTGCAGACTCTGTGTCATCGGTTGCATGAATTTTAGGCCCAGACTTTTTCTGCAATTTCTGTATCTCATTTCAGCTTATAAGCCCTCAATTCTCCCATCCATTCGCAGTTACAAGATTCAGTTTGGGATTCAATCTGATGATCATAGACTGAATCAAAGGCTATCTACTTTAATTCAGATCTTGAAAACTGATACAAAGCACCTTTCATTGAGCAACATAAACTCATAAAGGTCAAGAAAGATTAGACCAATATAAGTCCTGTTTTATTGCCGTGGTTAGAAAAGATTATACTTATTTTACCCGCATCTTTGTGTGTTCCTTAATATATGAAGGTTTTGTTATGTAAAGAGTAAAATATCTACATTAGCAAGTTTTCCACCTAAAAATGAGGATTGAAAAAAAAAACGTAATGCAGTACAAAAGCAAGGTAATTTTATATTTCTCGATAATTCATTTTAATAGAAAATGAGAGAAAAGAGTATCCATGAAAAATTATAAGACCTCAGAATCCTTACTGGCACGAATTGGCTTTTTTTAGTATCAATACATGTTACATAGTACAGCTGTGTGAATCATTCATCATCCTGAAAGTTTGAAGCAGTTATTTTGAGGTTTTCCTGGATTATTTGCATATATTTATGCATGTACAAAAGTAACTTCCAGCAGGATCACTGCCAAAAAATTGATATGATCAAAGTGTCCTTTAAACAGTTATGCAAGCAAACTTTATATGAATTACTCATGTATAAATGGATTCTGAAAGGAACTTAGCTAAAAAATAAACATGAAAGTTACTGCTAAGTTATTTTAAATATTGGTTCTTAAATTTGTTTCCCTATGAGTTTAAAATAGCAACAAAAGCCATGGGAAACCTTCTTACGTATGTTATACTATTATTGTATTTTGTGCTACCAATTTATTCCCTCTATGCTATTATATATATATATATATATATATGTCTGCCACAATTACAAGACCATCAATGGATATGTAAAATGATATTAATGTTTAGATTTACATCTTCTCTTTATTTTGTATAATTCAAAGCAGTATACATAATGATCCTGCCTCATAATTTTTCCACGCTAACTCTTCTCAGAAAATGAGAGGCCTCAAAGTCACTCTGCTGGTTTTCATTCCTAAAGGGCAACTAGAATTCATGATCTGGTGTTTAGTCCAGCACCTTAACCATTACACCAAACTGCCTCTCATAATTATACTCTCTTGATTTTCAGTGATATGCGATGCCAAGTCTGAAAATAATGTCCCTTGTAGTAGGTGTGTGTGTGAGAGAGAGAGAGGGAGGGAGAGAGAGAGAGAGAGAGAGAGGGAGAGGGAGAGAGAGAGAGAGAGAAGTCAAAACAATAGTTTCTAGGTGCATTTGAGTAGATCAAGACCTAAAATTGTGGTAACTTCAATGAGGACAACAAATCTGAGATTAGTATTATGGCCCATGGACTAGAAGAACTATCATCCCAGTTCATAGATAGGCCCGTTCTGTGTTCAGAGAATAAGAAGCCTATTTCAGTAGTGAAATAATATGATACAAATGTTACATTTTATTAAATAATCTAATTTTCCTCGTTAAAACATGTTTAGCACAGGATAAAACAGCAATAGTGGCATTTTCAATGAGAAAAATTTAGGCATTAATCATTTCGCAGTTTGTGTCAGAACAGCAACCACATAGAGAAGACTTAAATGCTATTTGTAATATAAAACCAGAGATTGCTGGAGGCAAGGTATATAGAAGAATCAACATTTAGTAGAAATACTTTGTGACAAGAAATACAAAGCTACAGCGACAATAAAATTAACACCAAGTAAACCCTTTTATGGAAAATATTTCAGCGAAAAGTGCACATTCAAACACAGGATTGAACATGAGATTTGTTCCCATTTCCTAGATTTTTTAGGTAGGTAGAGTGGTATTAACAACACTGTGTGATTATTATGTCTTTTCTGGCTGAAGTTTCTGGAAAAAATAATACAGAAAATAGGCAAAGGCATTCAAAAGAGAATTTCACTTTACTAGCAGTTTTAGGATAACTAGATTGAAAGGAAGGAAAAATAGTCTACAAGGCAGTTAAAAGAGAAACCTTCCTAAAGCATGCAGTTTCCTCTTAAGTCATCACAAAGTAGCAATGCAAATAGAAGAAGTCCATAGAGAGAAAAGTGCACATGATATCCCTATTTTATGGTCACATTTAATACAGCAGACCTTGACTGCCAGATGTAGGATGCAAAAGTATTGATGACTACGGCATACGGTAGCAAAAAGCAAGTTTTGCAGCCTCTTCACTACCATTTATTTTTGCAGCTCATCTATGATAGCCCTTCTTAAGGGGACACTGCCATCTTTTTTCTGACTTGCATTATATACTGCAAGTCAACAGGTTACCATTTATTTAACGCAGTGTTTCTCAACCTTGACAATTTTAAGGCATGTGGACTTCAACTCCCAGAATTCCACAGCCAGCATTGCTGGCTGTGGAATTCTGGGAGTTGAAGTCCACATGCCTTAAAATTGTCAAGGTTGAGAAACACTGATTTAACCTGTTGGACAGCCTTCCCAAATGTGTCCAGCACTTAACTGTTTTATAGTCATTGGCCATTGTGGCTGATGATTATGGAAGATGTAGTCTAATACCAGTTTGGAGAAATGTGATGTATAGATCCAGTGATAAAAAAGTATGCACCAAGTAAAAATAATTTTATTGAGCTTTAGCAACAAAGGCTTTGTCCCATTAAATTGGAAGTATCAGACTTATGCTGCAAAAATCAAGGTGACCTTAGATGGCAGCAAAATGATGTAGTGATATTCCTAATCTTTTGCAGCTTCCTAAAGGCTGTACAGATTTACAAAGCCTGGAACTGGTAGCCCAGATTACATGCTAGCCATTGTAGCTGTAATCTGTGAAAATTATTGAAATATTTTAGGTCCCAGTTGGTGAAACTGGTGCCCAAATACTTTTAAATTTAAACATAATTGCCATCTGGTTATGGTGAGAACATCATTAAGATACTTAGAACAGTTTATGATTTTATATATTCAAACTGCTGTTTAAAGGATTAATTGGTACTGAAGCACAGCAGAGCATGACTGATTTATCTTGTATCTTCAACTTTAAAAAAGAAGTATTGTAAGGAATTAACAATCTGCATATTCAATAAATTACACTCTTAAGAGATCATCAATAGGAAATCACAACAGTTTAAGTGGCTTAAGGTTAGATTTGCCTGTTTCTTCAAAATGCCATATGAAGCCAGTGAAAGCTATAGTGGAAGTAAATCATACTGAAATGGAATAATTATCTCTTAAATGTAAAATGCAGTTACTTAAAGCAGGGGTCCCCAACTCCCGGTCCATGGACCAGTACCGGGCCGTGGCATGCCAGCAACCGGGCCCCACAAACAACAAAGTCCCATCCGCGAGATGCAGGCAGCACACAAAATCATGCACCCTCCAGTCTGCAGAAAAACCTCTCTCTATGGAACCGGTCCCTGGTGTCCAAAAGGTTTGGGACCTCTGACTTAAAGTTTACAATCAATGTAACCAAGTTATACTCGACATGAATTGTTTCCTACTTAATTCTGTTTTTCAATCTTAACTTCAAAATTTGAGGGAAGAAATGGTAAAGATATTTACCTCTGTCAGTCACGAGTTGTATTGGCAACCATCCTAAGTAAACCTTTAGATTCTTATGACAATCTGTAAATGAGAGTAACTGGAAGTTTTGGTAGTACTGTTCATTTTCAAGGATGGATATTTCATATTTGTGTCACATAAATTTTCTAAATAAATAAATATTCCTTTCTGACTAACATACAATAAATTTGGCTAACAAGAAATTCCTTAAAGCTATTTACCCTGTCTTTATTCTCCAACTTCCAACACCTTATCATCCTCACCCTGTTTTTTTTTTTTCCACTTTCCAGAGATTTTGAAGGAATATACTAAGCCAGATGTAGAATGCTTGGAGTTGTTTGCTCGGAATTTGCAACCTGGATGGACCAGTTGGGGCAATGAAGTCCTTAAATTCCAGCACTTGGACTACTTCACTGTTTTACAGGATAATGATGACTAGCAAACCATAATTACTTTTGGCGGATTTTTATTTCTGGGTTCTGAATTTCACCTTTGCTAACCCTAACTCTACATTGTGAGATATAGTGTAAATGGTTTTCAAGAGCAGCTCTACATTGCTCAAATGTCAAAAAATAACAAGGATGGAACTTGTTATTCCATGCTTAGGTTGTGGAGGTCTTTTCTAACAATAATTAGAGGTGAAGGTACCAGCTGTATGATATCTACAGTAGAACCCTTCCTGGAACAGCCAATCCAATGCCTCAAATCTGTCAGTCAGTGTGGTGTTTTGCCTCCTATTCCCATAATCCTCCCAGGAAAGTTCTGGATCATACCTGCACATCCAGCCTCTGGCTCTTTGAAAGATTGGCTGCCATTGTGGAAAAACTCTTTATTTTATTTAAATGTTACATATTGCTTATTTATAACTTCTAGTTCTGTCATTAGAAGTTTTACATTTTTATGTTTTGATGCTGCACATTCCTATTTGACAAAAGGGTTAAAATTTAACTACATAATGTTTAGCATTTTCTGGCTTAGAAATAATGGCTTTAGAAATGTAATTAAAGCTTCTCATAATATTCCATTGAAAACAATATTTTGAGAAGTTTCGTTAATTAGTTCTGCGGGGTTTTGGTCAGGATTAATTTCAGTTGGATTCAGTCCCATGTCTATGCTAAAGTTAGTTCTTTTCCTCTCAATTCTTCAATACAATTTTAGTAAATATGTGATTTTTAATATTAGATCTTCTTAAAAATATGTTTCATACTGTGGTTATTACAATAATTAAATTATATTTTTCATCAGTAACTGTAAGACTTCTTTTCTCATCTGCATGTTTATATGTGCAAGAGTGAAGGAAAAAATTAACCGGTATTTAAAAGAAAAGAAAATAAATTTATGTTTATAAAATAAATGTTTTTTGTTTTGAGACCAACAAAGCTAAAACAATAACTGGTTTGTGTGTGTGTGTCTTTTTAAAAATGGTAGGATGTAAATCCCAACAGAAGGAAATAATATATCAGTATTTCTTTTACAACACAATCTTCTGCTTAATTCCATTGAAATAATAGTTACTCAATTAAAAGAGCTTGATTTTCTGTCAAGAGATAAAATATTACATCTCTAATCTTCACATATACAGCCATGTTCTTTGATCATGCAGTATTCACAGATACAACTGATTTTACAGTCTTTATCTCTATTAAAATCTTGGAAAGTTCTTGGATCAATGTATAGTAGGAAAGGTGCTCTCTTTCCAGGACAGTATGCTAAGAGTTGTCTTTGGGTTCTATTGGGGCACAACTTGGATTTTGATTTTGAAGGAGATAAGTACTTAAAGCTTTGGAACATTTTTACTTTAAAAGTAGGTCCTGCAGGAGAAATACACTTCATTGCTTGAGATGATGAATATTTTGGATTACAAGTCTTTGATTGATGAACAATTTTTATTATAAAGACCACCTACAAAAAATGAAATGGATGTCCCATACTCAGCTTTAAATGGTAAAAATCCATCTCTAACACATGTCCCCAAAGTCTTCAGTTTGACATACTACCAAGAAAATATGGATGAAGAGCAGAAAGAAATTATCTCCATGTTAAAATCAACACAAGAGACTATTGCTTTAGCTCATGATGAGATTAGAAATAACACAAAGGAGATAAAAAAACAATTTTCTAATCTAAATTTACAAACCCAGAACATGACCACAAGGAAGGAACTAGCAACCCAGAAAATAGAAGGAAAACTAGAGGAAGCAGATCCAAAGATTGAGGACCTAAAGGAAGGAACTAACCAACAGATTCAGACAACTGAAGAACTAGAAGACAGAGCGATAATATTGGAAATGGAAAAGACATCTTACCAATCAAGAATTCAGGACATATTTGAGGAAAAGGAAGAAGAAATGATGGAATGAAAGATAGAGCTCTTAGGAGAACTGTGTGGAATTGGAGAAGGAGGGAGGCTGTTTAATGAATATCAATGGGTTCGTTCTTCCAAAAATACTTCAACCAAATGGTCTTTCTTATTCCAAACAATATACACAAAGACAGAGGAAAAATTACTTGATGATTCAAATGCATTGACTTGGAAAGTTAGTTGGCAAAGGAAGAAAGTTAAGAGTAAGCCTGAAGAAAATAGAGGTTTTGATCCATTAGATGGGATATTATATTATTAACTAGATGTTTGAGTATGGAGAATAGATAATTGCTAGAAATAGAAGTACTATAACTAGAAAGATAAGATTTATAATTAGAATATTAGATTTTGGTATGAGAAGGGAAACAGGAAAATGCTAAGAAGTTTGAATAAGGGAAGCTTTTGATTACCCAAATATAACTTACTTTGAAATTATAAACAATAGAGACATTTTGAACATTCATGAGAAATTAAAATTAAAAAAAAGCGAAAACAGGATACTGATTGACATGTGGATATTAAGTGCAAATGCAATTAAGATATGTTTTGGTTAGAAAACTTATCTAAAACTGACATTGATATGAGAAAAATGTAACAAAGATGTTGATATTCAATTGTATATTAATAACAATAAGAATGGTATTTGCCTAGTGTGGGAAAACAGGTACTACCGGAAGAAGAGAGGAAACATTTGACTGTATAATATTGGATCTAGACTGAAGAAGTTAATATATACCACTGAATTACTAATGGACCCAGACAACACATTGTCTATTAAGTATTTGATTGTAAAACTAGAAAATTAATGAAATATAAAAAAAGTAGGAATAAAATACTTAATTGGAAGTAATCATGAGGAGAAGTTAGACTAGTTTTTTAAATCCATTAATATTGTTGAAGGAAAAGTCTTCCTCCTGGTTCATCCAAGCCGGAGATAAATAAACAACATAGAAAGAAAGAAAGAAGGTTGCAGTTTATTGAAGAGCCAGATAACAAGATGGTTCTTGCAGGAAAGAGGAGAGAAAAAAAGGCTGAGCACATGTGGGAAGTAGGTTTTTATACCCTCTCTAGCCTTTTGTTTGAAGTGGTTTCCTGTTCCTGTTTTAGGCTTTGTATTTCCTGTGTCCTGTATTCTGACCTGAGTCTGGGTGTGCCCTTCTGGTATTCTTGGTGGTGGTGGGTTAATCCTATTATATCCCAAGGGTTATATCCTGCTTCCCTGGTGATGGGACTAATGGCTCCTAGAGTTTGGATGGGGTATGCAGATTTTAGGTGTCTTTGTCTTCTTGATCTCCTAGCTGGGGCCTTTCTGATGGTTTACATCTGCATTTGTACAGAGCTGGCTTCTGCTTGGGACAGATAGACTTGGGGGCAGGGTTGGTTTCTGCTTTTAAAATTCTTTTGAGGAAATATATTTTTCTGCCCTTTTAATATTTCCTTTTCTGGGGAGCTGACTTCCCTCAATATGTAATTTTTATTTTTTATTTATTTTTTAAATTTATTTGCAGCCCATCTCACTGTGGGGCTACTGTAAGCGGCTTAAAACAGTAAAAACAGAAAAATGAAGTGTAAACATAACAATAGCAAAATAATGAAACAATAAAATAATGAGATAATGATAATACAGTAATGTGACATTAAAAGATGGGCAGAGAAAGCATGGAATGCGGGGGGGGGGGGGAGGTGGGGTTTTCTATCAATCTAGTAGCCACTTCCTGTGTGGAATTCCCCATTAGATTTCAATGATTTTTCTTGACTTCATATTGGATTTGGTCTTGTAGTTCACAGCAGTGACAATACCTTCAACTTAAGCATACTTTGATGATTCAGTATGAGCCAGATGCTTGGGGTACTTGAGTTGTTTTCTAATTTAATGAGGTAAAATAAGGACCCAGATTGTTGGGGGCAAGATGCTGACATTTGTAAACCGCTCAGAGAATGTTATAAAGCATTGTTCATAAGTTGAAGTGCTATTGCTATTATTCTTTGTTACATATGTCCCAAGATGCAGCCAAGAGTAAAAAAAAATGTTCCAACACTTTAAAGTGAACAATTTAAGAAAGCAAGATGTGTTGCAATTGTCTGATATTAAGGACAAATTACTTTTTTTAATGTATTCTAAATTCACGCTTAGTTTATCTTAGTGAATGTTAATTAAAAAAATTTCTTTTAATGAAAGTGAAGGATTGAACTTGATCTGAAAATGTCAAATTAGCATTTGACCTTTTCTTATTTTTATAGTCCTATAAGCAAAAACATAGTTGGTAATGTTTCCTGAGATTTTTTTTTTAAAAATAGATAAATTCAAAGAGGTGAATGATTCAGTTAAACGTGTACAGAAATCTGGCAAGCTCTAGAGGAAACCCAGTATGAGAAACTTAAATTGGATGTAGACAAGAATACCTGTGGATTAGATATTTTCATTCAGATTCCTCACCTACAGTCTAACTCAACATAATGATAAAAATCAAAATTCAATTGGAAGAGGAAGACTCAAAAACTGCTATAATTAGTTATGATAAAATATTGATTTTTAAATGTTCATTATCATGTAAAACATACTTAAAATTTCTATATATCAAACATATGGAAGATGTGATGGATATTTAAAGAAGATGCATGTTGCAGAGAACGCCTCTTCTAATTCAGATGTACAAGATTTGTGTAGTCTGTAATTTAGGGGACTCTATGCAGGTTTTCCCACAATCTGACATTGCCAGCTCATGCACTTCGATGGAGAAATGAAATGTCTACCGAAGATATAGATAGAATATTAATGAATCTTGCCTTCCCCATAAATACTCTTAGCAAAGTGTGAAATTATTGTTATGGTTCATTGCACAGTCAGATGGAGGTTTAGACTGGATTTTTGTTCACCTATCGTGTCTTTCCTAAGGACCTGGGATAGGCAGATCTTGATGTTTGACATTATTAAATTATCATCACAGGATGAAAGTTGTACTGAGCAAAGCTGCCTTCTACAATTGATTGATGGTGATTTTGTCAATTCCGATAGTGTTCAAGTGGTGCTCCAGTTGTACCTAAGGTGTTGTACCTAAGGTGCTTATTACTATTGGTACTATTTTTGCTTCCTTTTACCACAGACATTCTTATGTGGCAGGTGTCTGTTTGAATTCTAAAGTCTAGACCCATGGTGGCGAACCTATGGCACGCGTGCCACAGGTGACACGCAGCGCCCTCTCTGTGGGCACACACGCGCCCTCACCCCAGTCCTAGGCCTTCAGCTGGGTTTCATAAAACCTTTTCGCTTTAGGCCTCTGCCGCCGTGTGCAAAAAAAAAAAAGGTTCAATCAATCAATCAATTTCAACTTCTCGTGGGAAAAAAAAAGATCTCACAAAGTTGGAATTGATTGATTGAACTTTTTAGTCCTACCCAGTCTGCCATTACCACCGTAGCCATGCCCACCCAATGGGCCATGTCCACCCAATTGGCCACACCCAGCCAATGGGCCACGCCCACCCAGCACCCGACGATACATAAGTGGTTTTGGGTTGCAGTTTGGGCACTCGGTCTCTAAAAGGTTCGCCATCACTGTGCTAGAACAATGTAGCTTCTTAATTTTTTTATTATTTTTTTTCTATTTTTTGATCCCACCAGTTCTTGCTTGCAGGCAAATGGTATTGCAGATCTTACAATGCCCCATTGTTGCTGTTGTTTGTCATGCTGTTGTTTGTAGTCAGTCTGGGCAGTTCTCTTGCAACTACTAAGTGGTTGACTGTTTCTTCGGCTTCTTTTCACAAGTAGCACTTGCTGTCTGTTGGTATCTTCTAAGTTTGACTTTGTATGCATTTGTTTTTAAGGTTTGGTCTTCTGCAGCCAGAATTAGCCCCTTTGTCTTTTTCTTCAACTTTCCTGTTCTTAGACATTGCCAGGTCTTGCTATCTGCTTTGCCTGCTATTTTTTTTAATGTACTGACTATATTTTGTTTTCCC